ATCTTTCAGATGCATCACCACTATGGGCTGGGATGGAAATAACGTGCTTGGGATTGGCATTGAAGCCAACCGGTTGACTTTGGGATCACCCTGGTGCCTACAGATTTGCTTTACGCTTCCATGAAAGTTGAACTGGACCGCCAGATCTAACGCACTTTCCATAGGGAGCTTGGCTCAGCTGGAATTCAGAACATCTTGATGTGCTGTGGTCCAGGTCAATGGTTCTCTGGGTATCTCTGGCGAAGTGTGGTACTCTACAAGCTGGGATCGTCACAAGCTGCGTATGCATGAAGGTTTTCTTATAAAATCAGCGCTGTTTCAGTTGAGTAGGGGTTTCAGAGATAGTAGTAGTAGCATCCCGAACAGCGATTGCAATAAAACCTCTAGCCATAACAACAGAGAGAACAAGAGGATTGCATCTTTGGTCTGCACTGCATACCTAGATGGCAATAAAGGTGGAGAGAGAACCTTGGTTAGGGGGAATAGGCAGTTTTATTGCAGTTGGAATTATTTACATTTTTATTGCTGATATGCACAGTTGCACACAATCTGGGTTGGGCACCTGAATATCCCAACTAGCAAGTCAGCTCTGTTTGCAAACTATTTATTTCTCTAGAACAAAGGTTTTTGTTTTCTTCCTCCTCCTCTTCCTCTTCTGTTTTAATGCCTAAAATCAGACATGTCGGTTTTAAAATATGCCCATTCTGTCAGGAAACATTTCCTGCCAAATTTTATGTTAAAAGATATAGATTCTGCTAAATGTTGCAAATATTGTAGGTTATAGTTATTTTGTTTAGATAATTAGTTAATCATCAAGCACCAGTTCTCCAAATTATTTTGATGGATTTGTTGTGTTCACTCTAAGAAAGGAAAGAAAAGGAGAAAAAAAAATACCTTTCCAAATCTAGCTGTGTAATTTGACCTATTTTGATCTATGACTTTTACAGCTGGATAAATATTAAGAGTTCTCAGCCAAATATGTGCTTTAAAAAAACAAAACTGTGAATTGAGATTGAACAATTACTGCAATGCTTAATCTTAGCAATTTTGAAAAGGTAATTTGTTCTCTCTGGGTAGCCTTTCCAGTTGCATTTGGTTATAAAATGGCTCATGCACTTTATCACATTTTAATTACTTTCTGATACCTCGATGGGCAGATTTTTGTCGTTTGCAATGTTTAAAAAAAAGCGTATGATATTTTAGCAATATTTTACAAGTACTTCACTAAATTAAACAACAAAAAAACCTACCTCTGATATTCTACTTTTAGTGTGTGTGTGTGTCTTCAAGAATCTGTCCCAAATAGCCTTTTATTGGTAAGAGTCACCTCAGAGAGATAACAAATTTTTATTGACTAACAACAAGAAAAAGTTAAGCCCTTTAATGTAATATTGGTTTATGCTGTGCTGGTGAAAAGACAAATGTTTTTAACCCCATAAAGTTCTTTCCAACTTTGCTTTTCAAAGTGAAGTTAATTGCTTCCGTTACTCAAGGTAGCATGGCCAGTGGTCCATAATAATGCAAGTTATGAGCATGATACCTTAGGTCCCATGGACGAGAAGGACAAAGAGATGGTTTCCCTACGTTCTCTTTTGTTCTTTTGTGTTAGTTGCGAATAATTTCCTTGACTTTGTTGGCACCATTGTGAAATTTGTTTTTATGCTGGTTTCTACAACCCGGTCTTCACCCAACTTTTATGCCCCTTACTCAAAGATTTGGCACTTTATGTATAGCTTTTGTTCAAGATTTGATTCACGTACAATTGCACCAACAGGAATACAGTTGGGCAATAAAGTTTGAGTAAAACATACAAGGATTTATGAGAATTTGAATCGGCTATGAGATGTTTAATCAGCTGTCTCAAGAGAAGGTTGAAGGCTTCCTCAGAGTACAGGTAATCCTCGACTTACGACCAAAATTGGGACCAGAATTGCAAAGCAAGGCAGTTAAGGGAGTCCTGCCTGATTTTAAGACCTTTTTGACACAATTGCTAAGTGAGTATATCTCCCATCATTAAGTGTATCCAGCTTCTTCCCAATGATTTTGCCAAACGTCTAAATTTTGATTTGTGGGGATGCTGCAAAGATCGTAAATCAAGGGCCGGTTGTATATCACTTTTTTCAGCGCCCTTGTAACTTTGAACAGTTGCTAAACGAACAGTTTTGAGTCAAGGATTAACGTATGCTTGTGAATTAAATTCTGTATGAACTTTCCAGTAGCAGATGACTACTGTCATACATTCAGCTCGAAGAAGTGGGTGTACATCCTGAGAGTACAATTACAAATAAATCAGGTCAAACATCTCCTCCTATTGCAGGAATTATTCAAAGAGGCTGAGTGCCAACTTCTTGCAATTAACAAAATTGAATAATCATGACAGGTTTAAAGTGAATCCTGGATGTATGTACCTAGACACCGACAAACCTCGGCTTGAGGATTTCATAGACCATGGGAAGGATTCCATATTGGAAGCGGGAAGTCAAGGAGAATGATGCAATTAAATTGAATTAATAATTCAGCTCCAAATCTGATAGGGTAATTGAACACAATCCATTCAATACAGATGTGTGACTTTATTAAAGAGGAGATGGTTAGTCTCTGAATTTCAGGTGCAAGTTCCAGGTGTTTTATGCTTATCCCAAGAACAAATTCAACTAAAATAACAATTTTTTTATCCTTGGGATAGAGAAAAATCGCTCCAAGGAAGAATTTTTCATCTTGCAGAAGAAAAATTGCAAGCTGAAATCTTCCTCCCTTACTAAGGAAGCTGGAAGAAATGTCGAATTGTTACCAAATTGTTCGACAACAATGTTAACTCTTGGATTGTTTTCCTCCTATATTTAGATTGCACTAATTATAAAAACCTTAGGAAGAGGGAAAGGAATGGATTTTTCTTTGACCTGCAAAATGCCAAACTTCAAACCAGGAAATCCTGTCTGAAATAAAGCCCGATCAGCTGGGCTATTGTTGACATGTCCGCATTGTTGACATATTCAGCTTAGCAAGGTTTCCCCAGCAATGGAGAAGACACACCTTGAGTTGTGCAATGCTGGGTTACCATTTAAACCTTGTCCTTGAAGTTGTTTAGAATTTTAGCTTGGAAAGAGCAAAGACCACATCTGAACTTAAAAATGCAGGTCTCTTTTAAGGTTAAAAAAATACATTTTCCCCTATGAGAATGCAGATGAATGCTTCAATTAGGAGACCTACAGATTGTAACAACAAAAATCAAAGTTTTCAAGCATTCTGATTATTGTATTGATTTTCATGGGTGATTGTCTACTGGAGGTATCCTAGGGAGTATCTTTCTTGTCTATTGCCTTATCTTAAAAGTACATAAGTTAGCAAAATACATTGGGGCTATTTCTTCAAGATTCGAAAGACTTGCCTTAACAAGGATTCAATTATGCAAGTTCAAAAATACGTTTAAGTATTTGTATCAAAAGTAACTTTCAAAAGCATATAACTTATGTACTAAATATGAGTTTAAACATTCATCTCAAGTTACACCATTAAAATATTAAATTTCCAATCATTAAGTCATAGGGAAAAATGAGAAATAAAGCTGATAAATGATCATATGCAGTCCAGATTTTTTAAATGGAGCTTCCATTGGTAAAATGTTGAAAAAGCTGAATATTTAGCCAACACATTTAATGTTCAGGAGCATATGAGTGCAACGGTCAACTTCTCATAAAAAAATGACTTGATTCTCAAATCAGTTGTGCAACTGCCAAACGTAAATCATCAAATTGCATTTTATTATAAGGTTGATCCTCTTATTTTCCTGGAGATGGAAAAGCCTCATTTTAACATTGCTAACATTTCCGCAAAAATGTTGCATGTACAATGCTAAATGGTACCCTAGTCATCCAAGCAAATTTTCTGTTCTACGCATGTATGCAATTAAAAAAAAACTCTGCATGTTTTTTGTTATATTTTTAAAAGAAGCATCCGCCACAAAGATTTCACGCAAGCTGGTCAATGATCCAAGCAGACAATAGGAACAGGGTGAAAATGAATTCAAGGCGGAAAGAAAGATTGACGCAGGGAATTGCAAATGCAAATTCATCTTCTATTATATCAGGAATTATCTGTCCGATCCCAGCTGCCACTTTCCCCATTGTTGGCGCTGGGATTAAATTAGTTTTCTGATTGCAAACTATCCATTTTCCTATGGGTTTTTTTTTTTTTTTTTTTGGTGGTTGTTGCCAGAGGAAAAAAGAAAAAAAAATTGCATTAGACTTTTCTTCCAGTTAGTTATTCCCTCATTGTCCAAGAACAAAGATGTTATGCATCTTTTTAAAAATTTGGCTTTTTCAAGTAGATGGTTAATATTTTTTTACTCTTAATTATGTAATAATGATGTAGATGGCCAGACAGCAAATAAATTTAATATTTCTCCCCCACCCCCAGAAAAACATGGTCCTTCGTGCATCTGGGATGGGAATAAAATGACTTTCTCCTATTCACAATAGTGCTGTGAATAACGTATTTATTTATTTGCATAATTTTATTCATAATTTTTATTTGTTTGTTTATTTGTTTGTTTATTTATTTGATTGTTTGTTTGTTTGTTGCCTCTTCTTGAGGGGGGCTGTACTGCCACAATCAGCGAAGGGAGGGACTGGATAAGAAACCAGGGACAATCGCTACACCCAGGCAAGCAAGCCTAAATAAACAAAATACATGGGGGGAAAAAGAAAAGTTTATTTTAATCATGATTTAAGTTTAAAGCAGGCGGGCAAAGCGCTTCTCAGTTAGCCCTCAGAGCGTTTCCCGCCATTTTTGACTTTCGGGGAGGGGAGGGGGGAGCGTGAGAGGCGCGATGACGGCTGCTCCCCCCACCCCTCCCCTCCCCTCCCTCCTCCTTTCCTACCTGGTGGCGAGAGGGCGGAGGGAGGGGGCCGGGAAGAGCGGCAGCAGCACTTCCGGTGGAGCGGCGGGAGGGGCGGGCACAGCCTCCTCCGCTGCCGCCGCCGCTGCCAGCGCAGAGCTGCGGAGGGCGGCGAGTGGAGCGGACGCCTTTTTCTCGTCCTCCTCCTCCTCCTCCTCGGTTCCTCGCCCCGACATGGCGGTGGACGCCAGGCGGTTGGAGGCCCTCAGCCTTCACCAACTCCACGAGCTCCTGGAAGATGAGGAGCAGCTCCAGAACATGGCCCTGGAGATGGAGGAGGTAGGGCGGGCGGCCGGGGGGGGGGGGGGGGGGGGGGCGCCTCGGGAGGAAGGGGGAGCTGAAGAGGGGTGACTTGCTTTCCGAGGGGGAGAATTGGGGGAAGGGGGACCCCCAGAGGGAGAATTTGAGAGGGTGGGAGGCCCCAAAGGGGAGAATTGGGGGTGGGGATGGGGGTCTCAGGAGTTATGGGGGGCTCTGAAGGAAGGGGGAGAGCTGAAGAGGGGTGACTGGCTTTCCGAGCGGGAGAATTGGGGGAAGGGGGGACCCCCAGAGGGAGAATTGGGGAGGTGGGGATGGGGGTCTCAAGTTAGGAGTTGGGGGGGGCTCTGAAGGGAGGGGAGGGGGGGCTGAAGAGGGAGGCGACTTGGTTTCCTAGGAAACGGTGTTTCGGTGTCTTTTTTTCTTTTCTTTTTCTATGACTATGGGCCTGAAACCAGTCAGCCCCATTGGCGTCCATGGGGGGTCTCCCAGTCCTTGGCTGGCTTATTTTTAATTTTATTTTTTTAATTTTTGCATCTGGTCCAAATGGGACTTTTTCACAGCAGCTGTCTGCGGAGATTCTCAGGCATCCAGGCAGTGGCTGCCTTTTGGGGGGCGGGTGTGTGTGAAGAAAGATCCTTTTCAACAGACTTCAACAGCTGTTTCGGCATCTCACTGGGAATTGGAGGGGTGCGAATGCTGAGGATTCCCCGCAGCCCACACTCCAAGGCTTCCTAGCAAAACGGGGGTCCAAATTGAGTTTTCAAATCTGGAAGTCCTTGGATAGGGGGGTGTCCCCTTTTCAGGCTTTTGGCTTTGGAAAAGCGGCCCCGGATTCCTAAATTGGGGAGGGGGCTGCTTAACCATGCATTAACAGGGCTCTCCTTGTGGCCAAACCTAGCTTGGGGTCCTGCAGCTCCTTCATGCAAAGAAAAGTTCTTGAAGGCACAAAAGTTTCACTTGCTTATTTTGTCCTCGGTATTCGGTCTAATAATAGCCTGGCTTGCTTTCTTGCTTAACGCCAGCATTAGCTGTTTCCCCTTTCGATGAGGAAGTGGTGTGCTCAAAAAGCCGAGGTGTTTGTCGTTCTTGGGGTGGGGGTGGGGGACGTGGGTTGTACCCTTATTTGGGGGGAGGGAGCTGTGCAGGAAGCAGCCGTCAAGATGTAGGGAAACACAAAGTGGATATAGATCAACAGGTTGTCTTTGGTTGTAATACTTTGTTGCGATTTGTAGGGAAACAGTCATGGCTGTGATTGAGAATGCCATGGATGGGAAAATAAACAATGATTTGCTTGTTGGTTAGTGGGTAGCTTGCTTTGAAACGCCGGTGAGGATGGTGGGATTGATTTTGACCCTGAAATCGGACTCTGTTTTTTTTAGGCGATGGTGCTTCGATTCACAACCTTGTGGTTATTGTGGGAATAGGTGGTGTGAGGTTGAGAGAGGCGAGGAAGGTTGGCAGCCTCCTACGTTGGCTTTCTAATCGTGTAGGAATTACTGAACCAAAAGATAAGGCCTGGCGTTTAGGTTCCCCAACGGTTTAATTGGCTTCACTTAAGTGAGTTGCTTTTGTTTCTGCGTTTAGGTTGTAATTTCTTGCCCTATAGACATGAGTAATGTCTGAAAGGGAGCTGGGATCTCCTTATGCGGTGCTTTTAGACTGTTGAAAAGCATCCTTGAGCAGGACAGCCATCTGGTGGCTCAAATCCCAGGGGAATGGCTTGAATTCATTGTAAATTTCGTACTGCTTCCATGATAAGTGTAGTTCGTATCCCATCTGCCCTGTTTCTGGGCTCCGGTGATGGCTGGAATGGGGAAGAAACAGCTTTCAGTGAAATCAGATCCCAGCTTCCGATCTGCCCATCAGGCTGCCCAACAATGACTAATCCTAATTGTACTCGACGCAAAAGGTAAAAAACTGTGGCGCATACTCCTTCTGCCTAATTCGAACCTGGTTTCCAGTTTTCTCTAGGATCGGAACTTTTGTTACATATCGCCTGTGGGCTAAGGTGCATTCCAGGATAATTTTGAACGCTATTCCGCTCACTTCCTTGAGTAAGGAACAACTGGAGCATGAAAAGAAAGGCCCGAGTAGTAGTTCCTCCTCCTCCAATTTGTTGCAGATGAATAGCAGTTTCTGAATTTAGCAACCGTATGCCTTTGTGCTAATTAGTCGAACCCACACTTGCAAACTTGCGACTTCGCACCTTATCCTGTTATTGTTGCACTTTCTTTTAGCTATGTGAGATTTGGGCTGCTTTAATCCTTGAATAATTTTGCATCTGGGAACTTTTCTCTAGCTACCAGTCGAAGAAAGGACTTCTGTGTCTTTACAAATCTTTCCTGCTTAGCTCTGTGGCCTTTTGTTGTCTGGAATTCATACAGTGAAAGGGGGGGGCGGGGGGGGGGGCGGAATCTTTAGTTCCTAGTCACTCCTTGGTAACCAGCTAGTAGAAAATCTAAAAAGCCGCCAAACAGCGCTAGGAACAGCTGAGCTTCAAGTCTGAAAGGCATTTTGTAAACTCTAGAATTACTCCCATGCAGTGGCTTTAAGGTTGTGAGAGACTTTTGAATAATGCTTTCCTTGTATTCAAGGCTGCGAGGAAAGGCTGCAACAGAATGAAACTAATATCCGTTTGTGGTTTGTAATTCAAGCAAAAAAAAAAAAAATGAAGCCTTTAATAACGGGCAGCCTCCTTTGCTCCTTTTACAGCCAGATATCCTCATTTGATAAAACAAATCCTCTATTTTGTGGGGGATATACTTATGTGGAGGGACATCTGGTACGCCCATAATTGTTTAAAAAAACCAATCAGGTGCAGTAGGTCCCAGTATTTTACCTGCAGGCCTTGTGTTATGCTGCAAATGAGCTCTAACCCTTATCCTGCCTTTTTAAATAATCTGAGGATGTAGAAAAGTATATATAATCAAGCGGGAAATCGACTCTTCTTGACTGTGATGTCCTTTTAAGTTATTTTCAACGTTAATAGTTACATTTTCAATGTTAACAGTTGCTGTGTGGGAGACCCAGGGGTTAAAGAGGTAGAAGTAATCTTGAAAAATTTTACCTCTATTTCCCATTGTGCCTCTCAGATCTTGATGGCAATTGGATCGCTGGTGTTTGTTTAATGCATGTGCATTTGAGCAGGGCTGGAGTGAGTCGGAAGAAGCCTTTGGTTGAGTAAACTCTGACTTTCATCGATCCCTGTACTTCTCTTCAGTTGTCAGGTTTACTACTTTCTTAAGTAATTGGCCTGTAATTAGAGACAAGAGCCTGGAATAAATTAATCATTGGGCTACCCTGCGTTAATTTTTCATGCTTTCGATCACTCGATTTCAACATTTTCAAACTAAATGAAAATTTGCTTACTCCTTGAAAGTCATTTTCCTCCATTAGAGGAAAGCGAAGAAAATCTCTTGCCGTCAAAACTCACTTTTCGCATGCTTTTGCTCTCTGTTCCTGAAATAAGTTATTGCTTTTGGGGTTTGTTTGTTTGTTTTTTTGTGCCTGATAAACTTTTTTTTCCCCAGTGTTCTTTTGCCATTTAAATTATGTTAAATGATCTGCCAAAAGAAATCTTTCTCAACCAAAGGTCTTCGAAATGCACTTGGGCGGGTTGCCGTGCTATAATACGACAGTATAAATTGTTAACATTTACAATATAGGACACTCAGAAACATAGCCCGGTCAGTATGGCATGAAATCAAGTGAGGAGAGGTTTAAAAGGTTCAGGACTACACCGGTTGATAGGATTTCACAGGCAATGCCTTGTATTCCCACGAAATCCTACAAGAGTAAACAGACAATCTAATAGATAGATTTCTTGGCTCCTTTACACTGTTTTCCAGCCTCCCAGTGAATGTGGTCATGTCCTCTTCTGCCAATATGAAATTAGGTTTTAAGACTACTAATTAACTATGCCAGTAACTACAGGCTGTTTTTCTGTTCTAGCGGTCAGTCAATTAAGAAAAACCTGTTTTGTTTTTTTACAAATAGCTTCCTCTGTCATCATGGCATCATAAGGATGATTAAATGCACAAAAGGGGGTGGGGAAGGGGTCTCTAAGAAAGGAGGGGGAGGAACCACCAAGCAATTGGGAAAGAATATGAATTCGGCTAAACGAAGGGGGTCTTTCTTTAGAATACAGCGGCACGAGTTCTTATGAAAAATATCCATGGTGGTAATGCAAATCTCTGAAAGTCCAGATCGGGATATCTACTACCTCTGTGTGCATGCCACATACACCACACAGTAGCGGTCCTTGTTAGTTTAGGAAAATAAAAGAAACAGTGAAAGGTGAATGCATTGCATCAAGCTAAAATGTAGAACAGGGCAGGTCCAACCTTGGCACCTTTGAAAGTTGCGGACTTCAGCTCTCAGAATTCTCACTTTGGCCTCTCAAACCTAAGTGCTAATACCAGTGTACATTAGACAGTTTCTTTTTTTAAAAAAGGAACCACATAATAGATGTGCCAGTGAGTGGGATTGTGTCTAATATGAGCTAAATATAACTAAGAAACTTAATTAACTTAGCAGAGGGAGATATGCAATGAGTCCTAAGAAGAGAACTGATCATTGAATATGGAGAAAAGGTTTACCCCTTTGCCTCGGTCCTTCTTAAATTGTGAGCTGAGCAATTTATTAAGATTGTGTAGCAAGCCGGTGGAGAGTTAGAGTTAAAACCGGTCATTCCCAGGATTAAGAAAAGAGGCTGCCTAAATCGGTCCAGGATTGGCCCACTGCCCTCTTTCCCACAATGACCGACTAAGATAGCCAAAATCTTTTCAAGTAGCTCTTTGGCCTATTTTTTTTGATGGCGCTAAACGGTCCCATGACTCATCCTTGTGTGGCTTTTAATATCTTGGGGGGATGGGGGCGTTTGATATAAAATGGAAGAAAGTGATTCATTGTGGTACTTGGTGTTCTGTTTCTCGGGTCTGGAGGAGGAAGAGGAGGGGGGGGAAGTCGCCAATGCACGGGAAAATGTGGGGGAGCAGCTGTTCCCCCAAGTTGTTATATGGCCTTTATAAAGGAGCTGGTTCCTTGCCTTCCCTTCTCGCTCCCACCATTCCTCTTAGATCGTAAACTCTTGTTTTTTTAAAAAATAAATAAATTGCGTCCTCTTACGAGAATGCACATCACAGTTTTGGAAAAGCCTCTTCCTAGCCTCTGTGCAGGCTGTCTTCTCAATAAAGGGGCCTTTATCAGATCAGTATAATCAAGGAAACCAGAGGGAAACAAAAGTCCTGCCGTTTGCTCCTGCTGAACGGCAATTTCACATCACACAATTTCCCTTTTGATCTACGGGGTCTCGTTATGAGGTCTCCCATGAGACGGTGCCAAGCCAGCTTGTTCGGCTTCCCCCCCCCCCCCCCCCCCGCAAGCTCCTCTCTTCGCTTTTCTCTTCTCCTCCATAAATTAAATGTATAAATCGGGGAGAGGGGGTGACGGCTTGATTTACATTCTGGCTGTGTTTTCAGTCTGCTGGTTTCTTTGAGCGCCAGGCAGGCAATCCGGATCACGTCCCCCCCTTTTTCCTCCCGCTAATTAATATGGATACCGGAGAAGAAAAAGTGGTTCACTGCTCTGCTTGCTCACAGCAGAGAAATTTAGAAATATCCCACCTCTGTAATTAATTTTTTTCTGCCTAACCATCTGCCTCTTTTTTTTTTCTCTTGCAGGCGCAAAATGTTCAGCTTAGCAAAGATATGACTCTCGCCAGTAACCACAGCCTAGCAGAAGGAAATCTCTTATACCAGCCAAAATTAGATGCCCTGAAAGCCACATTAACCCAAAAGTATCAAGAGCTACAGGTTCTCTTCGAAGCATATCAGATAAAGAAAACCAAGCTAGGTAATATTCCGGAGGAGTGAATCCAATCCCCCTTTTTTTTCCATAAGCAGCATGGGTTCCAAAATAATTAGATAATATAAATATGTAGCAAAGTATGGGGTTGAATCAGCCATTTAAGGATGCACCCAGTTAATTAGTTGAACAACTGTTTGTTAATCTGGAGATATTTAAATCTTTTATCTACTCTTTTTATCTAAAGAGGAACCTAGCCTCCATTACATCATTCTTGGTGCCGTGGTTGGCTCTGGCATCACAATACAAAGCATATTTTAATTGAGAAGTAAACTAACACAAATCCATTTTAAAAATGCAACTTAGGGCCAGTTGATGTTTGGTAGCCTCAATGGGTTAGTAGTTTGCATATAGAGAAGCTTAACTGTTAAGCTGCCGGTTGTGAGAATAAATGTTTGGGGAAATGAGGTGTTGATAAGAACAGATACATCCTGCATGCTGGTGACTCCAGTCCCTGGAGATGGCCACTCCATTTGGAAGCCTGCCCTGTTTCCTTGCCCAGCCCTCAAAAGCTCTGTGGAGTATATTGTCTTGTAATAAAAACACAGAGCAGGGGGGTAGAAGTTTCCAAGCAGCTGGTATTATTTCAGTACTCATCACAGACGTTAAGGTAGCCTGGCCTTGCTTCCCCCGTGCTTCTCCCTGCATTGTGTAAAAGAGTTTAAACTCTGCTTTGTTCCTATCCTACTTTGGCTCTAATCAACTGAACACAAGCCTTCATCTCGGTCTATATGTATGGTTGGATCTGTTTTTTGCTGTTTTTGTTCCTCTCGGCCTTCAGGTATACCGCTTAGCCCCTTGCAGTTGGGGCTGTGTACAAAATATTTGCAAAGTAGGGAGTGGACTTGAATGGAAAACGAGTGAGGCATACCAGAAGTCCATTAGGGAGTTTGTGGTTGAGTTAATATTTGAATCAAGACACCCCAACTTTGAGGCTGACTTCCTACCCCTCTAAAGAGTGAAGGCATCCCCAAGCTAAGTTCCTTCTTGTTATATGTAGTTTTCTTTAAAAATGTGCAGAACATCCATTTTGCTTGTGTCCAGTCTGGCTTACAATCCTGGGATAAGTCATCCATCCAAGGATTAATGTTCGGTGATACATAATCATTAGAATCTGAGCAAAATCAGCCATGGTTGCAAACTCCTGCAAGTGTATTGAAACAGAGCTAAAACATTGTGCTTCCATGTTCTAAACTCAGAGTTAATGCTTCTTTTCCCACAAATATGCATGTTGTTATTGGTCCAGCCTCACCCATCCTTTGTGCATTTACTGTTTAAACAAGTACAGTATGAAGCAAAATGTATGCCTAATGGGTAAAATCCCATTCTCCCAGTTTTTAGCCGAGACTTTTAACCATTGCACAAAATCTGGTTTTCAGTTGGTCAGGAATGAAAACCATGCCAGCACATAATCATTGCAAGTTTTGAGCCAAAATGCACTCACATTCATGGCTTCTCTTCTGGGTTTTGTACTTTTTAAATTGTGTTTACTCTGTGGTAATTGTTTGTTTATGAACTCGACTTTAATTCATGGTTGTCCCATCCGCCAAACCCCCCTCTTCCTGGTTTGCAGACAGACAATCCAATAATGCTTCGCTGGAGACCCTCCTCGCGCTTCTTCAGACCGAAGGGGCCAAAATTGAAGAAGACACCGAGGTAAGCCTTAATTAATTTATTCTGTAAGCCGCCTCAAGTCGCCACGAGTGACTAGGCGGCCATATAAATTCAATTATAAATAAATAAACACTATACAAAACATTTGCTATTAGGGCTTGCTGGGATATTGTTCTTGCTGCTGTTTGACTTGAATTTATTTATTCCTTCGATTTCTATAGCCGCCTATCTTAATCTAATTGAATTATGCCTTCCCTCTTGTGTGTGGATCCCTACCAACCCATTGTAGGAGATGGTCAGGGCGAGCCCAAGGGAGGGAGGGATCAAACATGTCATCAGTCTAGCAGCAGCAGATTTTGGGCTCAGTTGTGGTCGTAATCCAAGGGCTACCTGTACGGTAAGATTCGTAAGTGGTGAGGTTGCTGTAGGCCAGGGGTCTTCAAACTTGAAAGCTTTTAGACTTGTGGACTTCCAATTTCCAGAATGCCTCCTCCTCCAGTCATGTTAGCTCAGGAATTCTGGGAGTTGAAGTCCACAAGCCTTAAAGCTGCCAAGTTCGAAGACCTTGCTGTAGGCCAGTGGTGGCTAAGCCTTTTGGGCTCCTGTGCCAAAAATTGCACGCGCACCAGCACGCACACACTCACGTGCCAGCACCTAAAATGCAATGCATGCTCCCCTTCCCCACGACCCCTGCGCATGTGCACGCAATCCCACCATCACCCCCTTACCTGCACTGTGCCTCGCAGCTGATTTTTCGGCTGCTTTGAGGCCTTCTTTGGCCTCCCAGAGGCTTGGAAAAAGCCTCTGCAAGGCTTTTCAGGCAGAATTATAGGCCCATTCCGTCACTTCCGGTATTACAGGAAGTGATGATAATTCGGCCTGAAAAGCCTCGCAGAGGCTTTTTCCAAGCCTCTGGGAGGCCAGAAAAGGCCTCAAACCAATTGAAAAAAAAATCAGCTATGAGGTGCCCTCATGCGCAGTGAGGTAAATTTGCCTGCGGCTCGCATGCCAGCACAAATGGCTCTGCGTGTCACTTGTGGCATGCGTGCCATAGGTTCGCCATCACGGCTGTAGGCTAAGTCCTATCTTCCTGCTTACCTTCTAGCATTGAGAGGGAGAGAGAAAGATGGCGTGAGAAACGGGCTCTGTCTCTCCAGACTGTGTCCCTCCCTCCCTCCTTTCCTCACAATTCCCTCTTTCCAACAGAACATGGCCGAGAAGTTTCTGGACGGAGACGTTCCTCTGGACACCTTCATCGATGAATATCAGAGCCAAAGGAAATTAGCTCACCTGCGGCGGGTCAAAATAGAAAAACTCCAAGAGGTGGTCCTGAAAGGACCCCGGCGGCCCCCGATGCCCCCTCCGCCTGTGCCTCAGACTCCAGAGGTCAACACGCCTCCTTCAGTTATGCCTCGCCGTAACCCTCCCCCTCCCCCTCCGTCGTCCGTGGTCCTAGCGGGACGTTTCCCGACGCCGTTTATGGCGGCCATGGGCCATAACCCGTACCCATATCCTCCACTGCCCCCGAGGACGGGGGCGCCACCGCCAGGCCAAGGGCCGTCGCCGGGCTACCCGAATCCTTATCTAGCTATGTATCCATCCACACCCCCTCAGAGGGCCCCGCCTCGCGTTCCTCCCAACCCCGGTTTTATCATGGAATGAGGCCGCCATTCCGTCTTGACTCTTGTCCACTGGTGCTGACCTTCACGAGATCCTCAACAGCTGGCAACCCAACCGAAGCCGTGAGGAGGATCAACAGGGTGGGAGGAGGGCTCCACTCACAAAGGAAACTGTCCACGGATCCTGCAAAGACACCCAGTTTTGATCCTGAGGAGGAGGAGGATGATTGTTACTACTTTTTAATTTAAAGAGAGAACCGGCGTGTCCGTCCGGCCCTTCCTACAAAGACGTCAAGCCAGCTGTCGAAGTGTTGAAACGCTTCCATGGTAGACTTGCCTTGTTCTTCCGAGGAGATTTCAGCCATCATTTGTGGCACGAAGGCCACAAATCCCAGGAAATTCTTCAGTTTTTTAAAAAAATTCCTTATTAAAGTGGGTGGGGGGGGGGAGAAGGGAAAAAAAAAAGCAACTCCAGAAAACGAAAACTTCGTTCTAATCCCCGGACGGTGTAGCTTCTCTTCGAGTATATGTTCTGCGAACAGAAATGGCAATAAAAATGACTTGTGTTGGCACAAAACACGTATAGGGACTAGGGAGCTTGTGGTTCTGAGTTAGCAAATTTTTGTGTTAGCCACTGAGGGGTGTGTGTGTGTGTGGTTTGTTTCCGCACTAATATAATCCGATCCATTTGAGCAACAGGCTGCCAATTTTCTGTGGGCGAGGGTGGGAGAATCAGTTTATTTGTACCCGTGAAAACCTCAGGATGTAAAAAATAGCAAATGGAGGTTTAAATCCTTGCTCTTGAGGGTAAGTCAGGAATATGCAATTTATGCCACTGGAGCAAACACTATCCTTCTGCTTCTTGTATGTCTCTCTCTCTCTCTCTTCATCCTACACCTGTTCACAACTTTTGGCTTGCAGTGCAGGTGGTGTGTCTCTGATATATTTTCCTAACAGGGTTCTAGAAAGTCTTAGCTTTTGTGTCTTGGGAAACATGTGAACCCAGAAATACTCATGACTTAATTCTTGCCTCTATCTTAGCCAATTAGTTATTCTTCCCATTCCTTAATCCTAAACCAAAGTTATCCTATAGCTGAAAACCTCGTGTCTACTTCAGATTGGGACAAAAAAAAAATCTCTTTTTTTCCCCCTCATCTTTCCTCTTCTAACAAGTCTTTTATACGCTTCAGAAAATGTGCTTTTCTTTCAAAAAAAAAAAAAATCAAAGTAAAAGGATTATTTTTTTTAAACCGGAAATTAGATACATGGCCCTGCGTGAAAAAATCGATACATTCAGAAAAACTAGTCGAAAGCATTTCCTAATTCACCGGAGCTTCCACCTCCGAGCAAGTGTCTTACAGTAACTCTGGGCTGCGTTCTACCTGAGACCTGTTTCTTAAATAGGTTGGAGTTCTTTTCGTATATGTCATCCAACACTTCTCTGAAATTGGTGCTGCCACCATCACGTTTGCAAAGTGGGGAGAGGCAGCTTCGCACTGAAAGCTTTCTGAAAGGAGTGATAACAAGGGGTGGAGAGAGCTGTGAGAAACAACCAGCGTGCGAAGTTGTGAGAACGCTGTATCCATTATCGGGTCCTGCTGCCGTTTGACTTTCTGCTGATTTCAGAATGTCCTTTTATTTTTTTCTTTCTGGAAGAACCCAGAGACCTTAATACGTCCATTCCAGCTTTCTTTTTTCCTTTCTCTTCTGCTTGTTTCGCTCTGTCGCTTCTTAGCAGTTTCTAATTCTTAATTTACCATGTTTACTTAGCTACACCTTGGTCTATCACATCCTCTCCATGCTCTTCGGAGTACTTTTCCTAAGTGATTCCAGAATAACTGTTTTAGAGCAAAAAGATCCGTTTTTAAGCCATAAGCTTCGGTTGAAACAAAAAAATTGGGTTATGGTCATTTGTCCTCGATCAAGCCACTGCACGCTTGTGGCCACCTGCAAAATGCCACTTTAGAGAGCAAGATTCCTTGGGCTAGAACAATCTTTCTGAATTCAAAATGTTGAAATTATCTTTGCTAAGACCGGTAGCTCCAAACCAGCCAGAACCCACTCTGTGACTTAATTCCACCCCCTGAAGATGTAAAAAATAAATAAAATAAAAGAGACCCAAGAGGAATGCATTTTTATTCTTTAAAAAGGCAGCAGAGATATGCAAGTATCACTCAGCATTTTAGACCTGTGTGATTGTCACGGTATCCCTTGCTTTGTTTCTCTGCTAGGCGGCTCATTGCTTGGGACACACGCAAAGCTTCTAATACCACAACTTAAATGGCTCTGCAAATTGATTCACTCCAGGGAGCCTGTCCCTACACGTTTTTGCACACAATTGCTGCTTGCAGGACAGCCCTGGGAGGCGCTGGGGTGCCCCAAGAGACAACCAATGCTTGAAAAAAACCACTTGCACGATCTGCCTTCCCTCCGAGGGAATCACAAGCTTCAAGAAGTGTTTTCGTTTTTCGGATGTGTCTTAACCTGTTGAGTGCCGTTTCCGGCGCAGGGTGACTTGCAAAACTTTCGGAGAGTCCTGGCAGTTAAAAAGTCCGCAAAGATGAATCTTGATGCCAATCGCATTTATCTTTCAGGATGTCACACAATCGTGTTAGTTTGAAAAGAAAAGGAAAAAAAAACAGGAAATCAAGAACAGGCCTTAAGGCATCCATTTCTTGGCATTTATTTCTTGGTTGTGACTTCTCACTTCTTAAAAAAAAAAAAAAATTGAGGAAAAAGTGTGACTCTTGGAATCTTTCTATGATGTGTCTTTTATTCTTCCAGCTTTGCAGATCTGCAACATAACTGGGTGCTTCTCCAATGTTGGAAGAGAGGCTGTAGTTTTTAGGAAGAAATTTCTTGTTGGCCACCGTTGTGTAGCTGAAGCAGTAGAATACATTTATAGACAACTGGTCAGATCCTGGAGTTCTCAGGCCCCTAATGTCTCAAGGATTTTGCATGCTCAATTCCAGTTCTCATATCAGCAGCGAGAATATCTGAATTCCCCAAGAAAAGGAGAATTACGCCCACGTGTGAATTTTACAGAGCCCTGTCTTGCTGTTTGAAATAACTCTGATCATCACTGTTCCTGTTAAGACACAGTCTCTATTCCCCCTTCCCTAAATACGTGCTACTCATTTACTTTCCAAACAATATAGCCATTGTGCAGAGGCACATTTTGGTAGAGGCTGCTACAACTGTGATACTCCTAAATTTTGTGTGGTGCGTTAACGCTGGGTGAAGGGCTAACTTGTGCCTTAGAACCACCGCATAGAATTTTGTCAGGAAGAAATTCCTTTTTTAAAATTCCTTTTTCGGTTCCTCTTTTTCCATGTCCAGAGTTTGGAATCCATTGTCCATGTTAGGAAAGGCAGCTCTTGGTTTTTTGTTTTTTTTTGCTGAAAGGTTCATTTTATTCAGAAAAAGAAAAGTTTGGTCTCGTGGCAGGAGTTTTTTTTAATTTTTTTCAAGCTGGCTGGCAGATCTAGAGGAAATTAAATTGGGTTGCAATCTTCTGGCCCCCATGGCCTTTGCAAAACCGAACAGTAATAATAATTGGAGCTTGGGTGAGATTGGAACTGGCGAAAGTCATTTGCTAATTGCAGGTATTCCGGCTTACACAGAATTAACGTCAAAGGTTGAAAAGCATGGCTAAGAGAGGAATTGCACGGTGACAGGCCAGAAAAGCTTTTGAGCCACAATCTGTACGTTTTGGAGAGAAAAAATGGAACCCCCCCCCCCAAACTCCAGCTGATACCCCCTACTCACTAAAGTAGGGATAGTGCAGAGATAGTTGCAAATAGGCCGCTACCTCTATTCCTTGCCATTTCCAGGACCCCGGGGCTGCCTTGTTACCTTCCAAGACATATTGCACCCAGAATCAGCCACATTGCTTCCGGAGAGCAGAGTTTGCAAAGAGTTTAAATGCAGAATTATTTCCTTTTTGCTCAGGGTGGAACGTTTCTCGCTCACTTTTGATAAAGAGGGTTTTGCAATAGTTTTGTTTATGCCAGTCACGTTTTTAAAACGGCCCTTTATTTAAAAAGAAAAAAAAGCATTTGAAGCGGTAAGCCATGTTTCCCCAAAGTGGGAGAATAGCTGCAATTTTTATACCGTGGTCTTAAATCCCCTCTTTTTTTTTTTCCTGCAAAAGCATGCAATTAGCGAAGGATGTTTAGGACGGTGTGGAATGTTACAGTAAACTGACCTGACTGGTTTTAGCATTTGTATAGTGGGAAAGCATCTAGCAAATGTTGCTGGTTGGCCTTTATTCACCCAATGCCCAGCAGCAGATCTGTAGGCCAGTTTACTGTTTATTTCTTGGTAGGTAATGCAGGAAAGGCCAGTTCTCAAGTCTGAATTGGGTTATTTCTGTCCTAGGGAAGGAGGTGGAAGAGAAAGGTCATTTCAGGTAATTTGATAATCCTGTTTTTCCAGTGCTTTGGGGCCTCAAATCAGTGATTTAGCATTTTATTCTGGAACAAGCCAGTCCTAAACCATGATATGATAGCCATCGTCTCCAACTGTGCCTAAGATGCCTGTAGAATTTCCCCTTCTTTACTTTCTAGATGACTCCTTAACGTATCGTTCGTTGTACGACTTAGATTGCGGTCTCAAGGCAAGCCTCCGAGCTGACAACTTGTTCCTTTTTTTTTTTCCTTGTAGAATTGCTGTTTTATAGAAATAAATTTTGGGGTTGCAGTGATTATTCATTAAAAAAAAAAATCCTAAATTTTTTGTACAAAACCATTGTTGCTGTTTTTTGTTTTGAATCAGAAAACCGGAGCGCTACTTCTTTTTCAAGCGCTTGCTGCGTCTTGGCGGTCTGTGGGCAAGATTTGAGTCCTCCCAATTTGATTTCAACCATTTACAGAGAATGATCATCTTACTTCCTTGTGCTGTTTTTGGGCTGGCCCAATTTTGTTAGAAAACAAAGCAAAACTATTTAATTGGGTTTCTAGCCTAGAAATTCGGCTGGGAAATTCACATGCCTGTACACTAACAGAACATCTTAGCAGGCCTGCATCATACAGCATTCATCTGACATTTCCCAACATTGTATGATCAAGATGGGTTAAAAAAAAAAATTAGATTTGAGAAAATAAACAGAACTTCCTTTCTATCCAAAATTTAGTCCCGTAAATGAGATTCTTTCTTGGCCATCTGAATAGAAATGAAGAGTCAGAAACAGCTTTATTTTCTAGCTATAAAATCTCTGGTAACTGGTACAGCTGGAGCAAAGAGATAATGGCTGTTTAAGTCCCTGGAGGAAACTTGCTTTATCTCTGTGCTAGGAAGTCGATACCCCATCTGCAGCCCCTAAGAATTTTGCTGTCCCAGCCATTTGCCAATAAAGGAGAATATTTGCAGCTCAGGGTTGAAATGAGGAGCCCTCGGCGCTCTCTGAGCTTGGTTTTCTTGCAGACGTTTCATGGCCCAACTAGGTAGCCTTATCAGGGCTACGAGGGAGCGGGGTTTGCTTGTAGCGCAGATGAAGTTACCTAGTTTGGGGTCAGCTCAGAGAGCGTCAAAGGGCCCCTAGCCGGCTGCTTAATAACGACCAGGAAAGGACCCCCCCAATTTGAACCTACATCCATTCCTTTCCTTGGAAGCTTTTTCCAGCACCAGCAGCAGACTCAAATCAGGGTAAATTAATAAACAGAACCTCCATGTCCAGGCAATGCTAGCCAATATTCTCCCCCACCCACCCACCCCAAAAAACGAGACAACCCAGTTTCAGCTAAATCATTTTAATAAGCGAAAGTGTTTAATCGTAAAGGTTCGATTAAGAACAATTCCCGAGACTTTTTCTCCTTTGCAAAGAAGCTCACCCAGCCTCTTAAAATTAAAGCCAGTGGCCTGGCTTTCTTTCTTTCTTTTTTTTTTTTTGCACGGATTTCCTAAGAGAGTTTTAAGGCAGTGCTTCCCAACCTTTTTCCTTCATTACCCCCACCCCAAAAAATCCCCTGCTTAATAAAACATCTTATGCAAGTTCATCCCTTCCTTTACCGCCGTTGTAACTTTGAACGGTTGGTCGTCCACTCAAAGACCACCTGCATAAAATGGAGCGATCTTTGTTGCTTTCAACAAATTGGTCATTCCACTGAGTTTCATTTCAGCAGGAATAGATTTTGAGAGGCTTTTAAACATACTTGGCCATCTTGTAAGTCAATTTAAATCTCCCCGTTTTGACTGGGAATGTGTATTGTTACCCAAAGGAGGGGGGGAAAAAAAGATATTTTTACCTAATTGGGGGTAATTTCACCCAGGTTTGGGAGGCACTGGTTAAAGGGATCTTTGAAAAAAACAAAACACTGAAGGTTTTTATTTTCTCCTCTATAAATCCTTAAATGTGTACTATAAACATCTCTAAAAGATATTTCATTTCCATCCCCAGGTAATTTCTCCCACCCCTGGTCCCTTTTTGTACGCATCAGATCTCGGCATAAAATACTACAAAGGACCACCTACACAACCGACAACGACAGTAGCCACAGAAATTCACATTTCTTTTTAAAAACATCTTTGTAGAATAATAGATACACCAATATTTACTCGAAATATTTCCCAAATGATTCCTATTGCTTATAAATAGTTATTCACAAGCTCCTTAATTCCTTTTCCCCGTAGGGGGTGGGAGGAGGGTCTGCCTTCTTGTAGATGGTGGGGGGCAGAAGAGACATTTAGGAGCCGGAAAGGGCCCAGCTGGTATCTGTTTAAAACACAGACATTTAAAGGGGCTGGAATGTCTCAATGTCTCCTGCCGTAGAAAGAGTTGAAGGCTGCTGACATCTTAATCCTCCTCCAAAAATCTATTTTTTGGGGGGTACCGGCGAAAAACCAGCAGATCCAAGGGTTGAATTCCTCAAGGGTGAGCAGAAACTGGACCCAATTTTCCTGGCCCTGGATTCAACTCTGCTCCGTTGCTTGTTGGCTTTGCCTTAGAAGTTAACTACATGGGCTTGGTAGACGCCGTCCTGTGCCAGCTGAAAAAAAAAAGGTGGGGAAAATTGGTAGCCAAAAAGGAAAAAACAAACAAACCCTATAGCTGATTTCTCACCTAAAAGGCAGTCCTTGGCTTACGACGGTAATAGAGTTTGGAATGAACCGTTCTGGGTCGCTGGGATTGTAAATCACGCGACCGGAATTGTCAGCATTTTTGTGGCGGTCGTTAAGCGTGTTTTTACCTAATTTTTTTGCTGGAAATAAAATGACGGAAACTGGGATGCTGCCAATGGATAATAAATGTGCGCACGATCCTAAGCACCCCCCGAAAAAACCCCTGATCTAGTGACTGTGTTGTCTGTGTGCAGCTGCCCTAACTTGGAAACTGGCCGGTAACACGCTTTTGGTTGGAGATCCGTCGTCATTTTGAACGGTTGCTAAGTGACCATCGTAAGACGAGAACGACTCGCATGATCTGAAATTGATTTTTGAATACCACCCCTGGCACCTGCCTCTGTGCTCACCTCAGAATCCGGCTTGCTTTGACCTGGCTTCTGGGCCATGGCAGGTCTCTGCAAGGATGCTGGCTTACGAGCGATTGTAGGCTTCTTTCCGTCCGTGTTCTCCGTGTAAAGACCAGCCAATGCGTAATGTTGCCTTCTCAACTCTCCGAGACGCAGCCTCTCGTTCTCCAGCGTCTTTTCCAGTTCCAGAACCTTCACCTGCAAAAGATAGGAACTTCTGGTGTCCATCACCTGTTCCCCTAGACCGGGTGGGGAGTCCATCCTTGGCCAACTTTTAAGACCCGTTGGACTTCAACGCCCAGAATTCATGCATGGCTGGCTGGAGAATTCTGAGCGTTGGAAGTCCACAGATCTTCAAGTTGGCCAAGGTTTGGACACCCCTGTCCTATAGAGAACTCCATCCTTGTACTATGGTTAACACAAGAATCCCACAACTGGGTTATTCTGGTGGAGGTCTTCTCGGACCACCACTTTTGCAAAAAAGATGCTACGTTCAGAAGTTCTCATCTTCTCTACTCCGAGAACTCAACAACCACCTCTGCCATGGCATCCCTCCCTTATCCAAACCTTCCTTCTAGAGGTGTGCTTTTTCAAAAAATGAAATTAAATCCCAACACTTCCATTAAGAAACCGCACATCCATGCGCTACCTACTTGTGTCTCCATTTCCTCTTTCTTGAGTTTGATCAAGGACAGCCCAGAGAAGTCCATGGTGTCTGGTTGGAAGGGAAAAAGAAGAGGTTCATGTCAGATGGGATCGTGACCAAACTTCTCCAGATGTTCTCCAGTTGCAAGCACCACACAAACAGCAACAGAAAAGCTTGCCCTATTCTGCAATTTTGGATATTCTGCAATTCTTCGCTCCCAACTTTAAATAAAACCTCACCAACAATCTCTCTTCAACGCCATTTGCTCTACAAAATCATGGACCAAGCCCGCAGGATTTCCATTATCTTCTTAAAAGCAAAGCTGAGATTTTCACAAAGCTCATCCCTAAAGAATGTATATCTAAACCACTTCAAATAACATCACAGCTTAAATCAAGGGTCTTCCAACTTCCACTCCCAGAATTCCTGAGCTAACATGAGTGGAGGAGGAATTATGGGAGTTGAAGTCCACAAGTCTTAAAGCTCTTAAGTTTGAAGACCCCTGGCTTAAGTCCCAGGTAGTCCTCCCTTAACAACCAAAATGGAGTTCAGAAGTTTCTGCTTTGGCCAAATAAGGTTGCCCACGACCCATTAGCCAAACTCTCTTAAAGTGCAGATGGGGAAACTTCCCTGTTTCCTGCTTGGCGAGCCCACCAAGTCTTACCTTTCTCTTCTACCTGCTCCTGACCAGATTTGGTAGATGCCACAACGTTAGCTGCCTTCTCGTTGACCCTACGCGAGCATTCCTGGAGTTTGCCGAGGTTCTTGCTGTGCTTCTCTGCTTTCACCTGGCATCCAAAACAAAACAAAACTCAATATTTGAAAATGTATGAATATAATTAAGACTTTTGTACTGTCAAAGAATGAGGGTGAATTGTACAAACTTACTTTTGTTATAGATGTATTTGTATTTTAATATTTTAAACTTCAATAAAGGTTTTTTTAAAAAAATTAAAAAAGGAAAAAGAAAACAAACAATTCAGAGGTTGCAGCTGTTTCCCTTTGAGGATCATCTACCTTTGAGGCGGCTACGAGTTGAGCTGTGCTCGCTGCAATTTCATGTGAACAGACGATCAGCTCTTCGTATTTGCCGGTGTGCAAGACGACTTTATCGGCAGATTCTCTAATGCAAAAAAGAAAGAAAAATGCATGATTTTTTCCCCCTGCATCAGAGAAAAACAAAGAAAGGTAGAGGAAGAAAGCGGAGAAGCGATCCAGATACCTACACGAGCTGAGTTGCTCCCCATCCAACAGCCTTGGATGCTGAGATGAGCCCTTCCGTCCAACAGGAGTTCTTGGCGTAAAATTCCTGGGGTGTTGCTGCCCCCTAGTGTTCAAGAGAAAGAGTGTATCTTATCATTGCGCTGTATGGACAACACAAGAGCAAAATGAAAATTGGGAGAAAAGTATTTAGAGAAAAAGTGGGAATTTAGAAGACAACAAGTTCTGATCTATCTTGAATTTCGACAGCTACAGGAATGGATTTTCTAGGGTCCTAAGAAGGAAATGTCTTGAAATGTCACAATTAAACAAATGCAATGTAATAAAAAATGGGAGAGAGAGAGAGAGAGGATTCTCCAACAGCTGATCGTCAATCCACAGCCTTTCCCCAAATATCTAATTTTCTCCATTTTATTTTTTAAGTAACAGCAACACATCCCAAATGATCTCACCCTTCCTCCTTCCACGATCTCCTTCTGCAGATGTGTGGAGGTCAATACAAGTTGCCGAATAGCCTGAAAGTAGACGAAAAAGCAGAAGAGTTTCGTTGAATTCTGGTCACATCAGCCTTCAACAAAAGGCTTGTATTTATGTGACCAAAAACAGACAGCAAGGAAAATTCTTGCCATGTATCCCAAATGGAATTATTTTTAATGAATGATCAACTCACCTTCATTAAATCTGTGCAGGAATTCAGGATTCTAGGGGAGGGAGGAAGGATGGATGGAAGGAAGGAAGGAAGGAAGGAAGGAAGAAGAAAAAAAGAAAGAGAAAGAAAGAAAGAAAGAAAGAAAGAAAGAAAGAAAGAAAGAAAGA